AATTATGTGAATATGGTGTGTGTTATAAGAAAGTAGGTGATGTCTTAAGTCTTTTGGTTATGTCATTTGAATCAAGAGGGGAGGTTAAAGTACTTGATCGGAAAAAATGATTATATTTGTTCTTTGGCAGTGAATGGCTTATTTGTACTTGACTGTGACCCACCCACCACTCGATTGTAATTTGGCCAGTTGCTATTAGACATCACTAGCATGACTAGTTGGAAGACAACCATGTAAAAATAGTGTGAATAAAATAATCGTCTGTAATGAACAAGGAAATAATAAAGTTTTTATTTTTTATTTAAACCAACAATAAACAACAAGTTTAAAAAAAAAACATTCGAGTAAAAATAAAGTAAAAATAATTGTCAAGTTTAACCAGTAGGAGGTACAGGTGCTGGTTGAATTATCTCACCTGGAAGAAAATAAAAAAACAAGTAAGTGGTAAAGATTATATAAAGGTAATGAATGATTTGAGTAAGGTGTTGAGTAGAGGAATGTTCAATAGGAAGAACATTGTTGAAATAGACAATGCTTTGGAAATGATTGGACTTCCATAATTAAATCTTGAGGCACATTGTAAATAACTGGCGATAGGATGCTGAAAGCACTGCCGTGCATTCAAGCGTCCTCTCATTGAAAATAAACACAGGTTATGCACATTAACATATAATGAGGTAAATTAATGTCATGATTAAATCTGGTATGATGTGCAAGAAACGACTCATGGTGCAAAAGCACACAAGTGTTGACGGAAGACCAAAATGATAGGTATCACCACCAACAACCAATTTGGTAGTAGTCATATTGCCAAAAGTATTATATCTTGTTGTCTGTATATATGAAGCAACAATAAACTGTACAAAACCAGTAGTTAACTGTTTACAAGACAGTATTATAGACCCATATCATGCAAAGTTACAGGGTGTTGTACAAATATACCCCCTTACTTTTAGGGTATCGTATGTTCATGGAACTGTCCATTCAGAATGAATCGTAAATAAAGTAGGTGCAAAGAGACTATATCAAATGTAATTGTACCCCATCAGACTGATATAACTCGTAAAAGTAATGAATTTAACACATGGCAATGGCAATGTGCCATCGGACATATAACCCAAGTGAATTGACCATGTGCAAAGACAGCATTGTTAGGTTGCATAAGACAGCCCACACACATGCTATAAGGAGTAAAATCCTGGTATTACCAATGACAGGGCTGTTAATGAGTCAGCATCAAAAACATAGAATGTAAATGCATGGACCTGTTTGTGCAGAATACCAGTTTATCCCTCATTATTTATGTGGACCATGTTGAAAAGATCTCAAACCATTATAAGGCCAATGAAAACCAAATTTGGTGTTTCCAGTATTAGGGTAAAAGATAGTGGGTAGTTAGGCAGGGATTTTATAATTTTAGATTTATTTTTTCCCCAACATGTCCAGTCTACATCAAATACAATCATTTTAAACAATTGTTTTTTTACATGATGATATTAATATCAGCTTGTTTATTTTAGAAAAAGGTAACTCATTTCCATAAAAATAAAATTTGGCCTTATTAACAAATGACAACACATGTCATTGTTTAAGGTTGAGGTGAGTGGCATGAACTGTTGATCGATGGCACCATTTCAAAAATGGCAGCTGGTGACAGCAAAACTTTCACTGATGTACATGTGTATGTAGTGAGTACAAGGAATTTGCCCCTATCAGTTTCTGACTAATAAATGACAGTTATGTACATTCCTGCTGTGGCCATTTATCTACAATAGCAACATCACAAGCATGATAAGAGCTATTTTGATGTACACATTGCAGCTCTTGTTGTTTCTTGCAATTTAGTATGTTTTTGGTTGTCTTTAAACTATTAGCCATTGTAATTTGATTAATTTGTATCTGTAATTTTTGTTGTTGTTGTAACCTTTAACCTCCTTCAGTAGGTTGTTATGAGTTAATAAAATTGTTGTTATACAGTGTGTGGTAGCCTATATAATCAATGGCGTGGTCACAAATGATTAATCATGATCACATACTTCATATACACTATAACATTACATTAGTGGGCGACGACTAAAAATCATATCCATGCACTAGACATGGCTACATCCGAGGTCATCATTTTGCCAATGCCATTCTTGCAATTTCATTATTGCTGGCTGCATAGACCAGACTAATGTACAAGTATTTACACATATCAGCCTTATTTTGGTTTTAGATGCTATTTTATTGAGATGCATCGTGACAACTGTGGCGTGAAGGACCGCTAGGTTAGGTAATTTTTACTAGCCGCAACGTGCATGTGCACATTGCACAAATCATATGAGTTCACAGGCCATAGGCCTAGTAAATCGCTGTCATCATTTATGTACGATGCAATATTTGGCGATTTATTTTTGGCCATTAGATTCCCTGATTCATGACATTATGTGCCAATAAATCCTGAAAATCGGCTTTGCTAAGCGATGAGTCGTTTAGTTCAAAACACTGAATGATCACAGCATGGTGTGCGGAGTTTTATAGGTAAAGCAATTGTTAAGAACATATTAAAATTTGTGGAAAAAGGGCAAGAGCTCTTACCTTCTATTATTAGTACAATGTTTGTACGGCCGCGTCCTGGGCTGGCTAGAAAAATAACCTACGTCATCGAAAGATGCGTGTACGTGTACTGTAGACAATTTCCATGACGCTGCATTGCATGTGTAGAGTCGACGTCACGATTTGTGCGTATCAGTTTTTCTCCGCTATTTTCAACAAATAATTCACTTTTTTCTCCTGGGAAAACGTCGTCAATCTTATTTTATTAACCTGAACGTTGTCTCGACAGCGCAAATTATACCCAAATAAGCGTCTTTGGTTGATTTCTGGCACCCAAAATTGATTCTCGTCTACGTCTACGTCTGCGTTTAGGAATGACCTGGTGATCCAAAATTGACCTCGCATGAAAATACTGCCGCCTACGGCGTGTCCCGGGATCATTGCGTCTGGGGACAACACTTTACCTACCTTTCAAGCGACTGGAATAGGGGGGGGGGGGGGAGGCAGAGCAAGAATCGGTCAAATCAGAGAACTTAAAGCGCGGTAGTCGTCGCGCTGCGTGTGTGCGACATTTGTGTCGATAAACAATGATTTTCCCACATTCCAATGCGCTCTTCTAATTGAAATCACAAGTATGAGGTTTGACCTAGGCGCGACTTGCACTACTTACCGCCGGTGACTTTTATACCTTCCAATTACCTGAAAATACCTAATTAAAGCTTGGTAACGTCTCAGCTCGTACTCGTTGATCTGCACAATCAAAGTCGCCATCTTTGTTTATATGATCCCCATATCTCGCGCATGCTTGGCGCGACGACTACCGCCCTTTAATCGATCGTTGGTAAAAAAAAAAAAAAGTCAGAATTGATCGTTGGTCAACAAATCTGCCTCAGAAAAAGGAAAATCCATCACTGAGTCCGAGCTCCAGCTTATTGCCATGATAGTTATGTCGTATGGATCATACGTCACCACTAAATGGCGTATATGCGTACACTCTGGGAGTTAGAGGATAACCGCATAACTTTAAAGCGGGGGTGTCGTCACCAACACATGCGTTTTTCGCGTGTGTTGTTATCGTCGCTTAGGACTCAATTCTCGCGCATGCGCGAGGGAGGACCCTCCCGCTTTAATAAAAACCCTCTTCTAAATCGATTTAAATTAAGGCAAAGCGACCATTTTAACCTGTTCACACGTTTTTTTCAAGACCGACTTGAAGAGACATAACTTCTCACGATCATGACGGCCATTTGCATTACATTGTATTAGATTAGTTGTTTATGAAGATGTCCAATTGGAACGAATAACTCAGAAAACAAAATTTCCCGCTGAGATTCAACCTTATATGCTCAGTCTAGATCTATTTTAATAAGATGTCGTTATCGTGACGGACATTATTAATTTGCTGCACACTCGGTTTAATCAGTAGTCATGGCAGCCAGCAATTTTCTCTTCCCGGTAAAACCAAGTCTGGAGTGTTGAACTAGCATGTTGTCAAAGACAATGATGTCTGACTTCTGCAATTGGAAACCGACGGAAACCTGCCAGATGACGTCACGGAGATGCTGTAGTACTTCCGGTTCAAGTTCAGTTCCGTCGCCATACCCTGTGTGATAAGGAAAGCGTAAAGGAGGTAAATCCGGCTCGTCGGCATATTTTGGATGCTCGGCGAGGTTCGTAGAATGGTGTCGGTGCACGTGGTTGAACCATAGCTCTTCTCCTGTAAAAGAGTAACAAGAGTATATGACCACTAGTAAATTGCCAAGCCAGAATATATGCAGACCAGGTTGTATTTTTAGATGAGCTGGAGCTAAAATATCACGTGTCTGGTGACGGTGTTTAACACGAGAACGCATGTGGTTAACCTGAAACAGGATTTTTTTTTTGATGAACAATATAACAAATAAGACGTGCGACTTTGTGGCACTGACCGGTTTTGTGGTGCTTTGTGAATGCTGGTAAAGTGTACCAATATGAAACAGCGCCATCATCCTGCCATTTGTGTTCGTAATTCATTCTATCCATGTACTTTTCAACATCACTTTTATTCTCAGTGAAGAATGTCTGAAAGTATTAGAAATAAATAAATAAATAAATAAATAAATAAATAAATAAATTTCAAATGATGTAAACAGTAAGATTTGCGTTTTATCTAAATTATATCTATCATAATATGATGAAGAATCTAATATCTCACCTCCTGCCAGCTTTTGTATCTACTGTTCTCTATAGAGTGCAAGTAAAAGTGATAATTAATTCCTAGTTTGCGAAATTTCTCTTTAACTTCGGGTTTTAGTTTGGCTTCAATGTCTTTTACTCTGGTAATGCCAGTCTCACCGCCACAGCCAGGTTCCGGGGCAATCTCACAGGAGAAAAACAACTGCAAACAAAAACAGTGTGTGATTCTGGCGAGCTAGTAATCAATGAATGAATGAATGAGCACAATTTGGTTTACCACAACTGATTGCAAGCCTATGGCTTGTTGTTTAAAATGGATTTTACGTGTATTTCATCGCAACAAGAATTTGATTGTTGGTTATTTGTTTATCTTTCCAACAAAAGTTATAATAGCATTTTACGTAAACTTATATCGGGATGAATAATTCTAAATTATATAGGCAATCGCATTGTCCGCTCGCACGGTTTCGTATCCGTTTGTCCCTCTATCTACGAAAATGTGTGGTAAGTGTGTTCGTGTATGGTGGAGGTCGTATCCGATTCGACACGATAACAAAGTTAACGACCAATCAGACTCGTTGCAACAGATACAAAATGTATAATAATTTCAAATATCGCGATCTTTGCGATATTCACCGTTGGGTTTATTCTGGTGTGCTTCCAGCCGCATTCCCTCATACTTTCGCAATACTATACTCAGTTTGAGGACATTTTGAACGTGAGAAATATAACGTCTAATTATATCTATGCTATCGTATTCGATCTCCACCTACCCAGATCACCGTTCTCCAGGCACCGACCACAATCACCGGTGGTGCGGTGATCTATTTTCGTTGTTGCCTGTGGTTGTCGCGCCGGTCTGATGATCGGGGATCATAACGTGCCAATAATGTGCAGACAAGGTATTGCAATTAGGAATAAAGAACGACACACTATCCATTCTTGCGTGGTTACTGGGAGGGAACGGGCGGGGATGTGCGCAATAAGAAGTTGCGGCTTCAAGGGGTGAACTAATAGATGGGGCGACGGTAGGAAAACTGTAAAAAGTATTTTTTTTTCTGCCACTTAGATTTCTGCTATTTTTTCAGTAATGAATGATCTGTTAATGATCACTGCAGGATTTTTTTTCAATTCTGCTATCGCCCCAGAGTTTGTAATGGCCAATCCTAAAACGTGGTGTTATGATGAAGTTGGCTTATACAAACCAGTTACACTTATTTCAGTTTTAAGTTTTCATTAATTTTTAAGAACATTAGAAACCCAAAATGGCGCTTGATTTTCTTCATCCAATCAGCTTCGCCCATAGAGGGCAGTAAAGAGAGCTAACTGCTTGCATTCTATTTATAGCTGACTATTTGTCTGAAACGAAAATTGACTAACAGGACTGCTATAACAATTTGATTAATGAGCACACCTTTTTGGGGAATGTTTTTCTGTACCCCATCTCGTTGTGCGGCTGTATAGTGACCTCTGGCAAGTCGTCGCTAGCTGTAAGCACCCCTGGCGCCACCTTCTGACGGACAGCAAGCCCTCCTTCGTAGCCCATCGTCTCATACCCTAAATCAACCAGAAACTGAGAAAACCTATCGCCTCCGTTGATCGGCATACCTCGGAATAAAATGGCGCCATACTCTGTAAGGTTGGCGTCGATGACCTCTTTAGCAACCTTTGCCCAGTCAGAAGGCGGGATAGATGTATCCGTGTATTTTGCCTCGTACACGGCCGGAAAGTTTTTTGACGGCGGGGAGATAAATTCAGGAAATCTATTATCTGGGCTTGATGCACCGGGAAGCCATTCTCTACCTGCCAACCTACCAGGTTTTGTTCCATGCGTGTCAAGCAGTTCACGATGAACGAAGGCGGCACGGACATACACCGGACCAGTCGATGACAGTTGCCGGCTCTGATGTCGAACTGTCCACTTCCCGACATGTGGTAAAATGCGACTAGCAGTGAACATCTTGGTGGCTGAAGGAATAATTCTAGAATACATAAAATACGCCCATAAATTCAACGTCACGCCATGTGATTGTCTCAACGGTCAGTTGTTTATACCAGAGCAATTAATTATCCTTCGCGTGTCCACATAGATCGTATCACGTGATTCATTGCGTGTGACCATTGAACATACACATAGCTCGACAGTAGTGAATTGGGCGTAATAGACAACCTGGGCTTCTGTGTTCATTCAAACAAGCACATTTCGCGTGCGTTTTCAACAAGCGTTTTAATTAACTCTTTAAACAAAGTTTTTTTATAACTGATTTTCCCTTGTTTTTGTTTCTTTGCTATTTATATGCAATATGATATATAATAAGTCTATAATCGCTCGTACATGTTGTACATGAATTATGTTGATGGAACTTCACAGTTATACGTGAGAATGTTCAATAATGTTCCAAAAAACCTGACCTCTCTGAGTGATAAGATTCGAATGTTGATAGACACCGTTTCTGTTTTTTCTTTCTATATTTTGTGAATTATGGTTCAGTAATCATGCTGCCACTGCGTCACAAAAACCTAAATAAAACGATGGTTCCGAAAATTAACTGATTCCCCAATTCACATGCAAGTCAACTGAAGGTAAACAGTGTCTATGAAAAATTATCCTTTATTCAAATGACCAAATATTGAAATGAACCTATATTCGAATATTTTTTTATTCAAATTACCAAATGTACAATTAATCCTATATATAAATGAACCAATATTCAAAGAATCCTATATTCAAATGATCCTACATTCGAATGATTCTATATCCAAATATCCAAATTGCCCAATATTCGCAGGATTCTATATTCAAATGATTCTATATCCAAATGCCCAAATATTAAAATGATTCTATATTCAAATGCCGAAATATTCAAGTGATCCTATATTCAAATGATTTTATATTCAAATGACCAAATATTCAAACAATCCTATATTCAAATATGAATTTAACAAATGTCAAACTGAAAAATACAGTATCGTACATTCAGTATTTTAGCATTATTTTAATCAAGAAAAATCATAATTAATAAAGTTATTGTTCAGACATGAGTTGTCGAACACACTACATAGTTTGTAATTTCATTCAGCTTGCTTCGGCCTCAATCAAGACAATTAAAATGCAAATATATAGAGAATAAAGCGAATTTTCTCCCTTTTCTGCATTATTCTTGTGTAATTGGCAATTATGAAATTTATCATTTGTGTGCGTATAGAATACATTTCGTTTTGAATTATTCTAAATATATTTCGAAATTTTCTTGTCAAAATCAGTTGTTTCATGGTTTCCGCTACCCAAAACAATGAATTTCGGTTTCAAAATTTATTGTACTCTTGTGAAGCCGCACAACAAAGTCAACGTCAAAATATTAGCTATGAGAAAAATTGCATGGGGGGGGGGTGTTTACATACCCCAAACATACTCCACATTTAAGACGCTGTAACGGAACGAACTATAGTTTGTGTAGAAGACAGTTTGATGACGGGTTTCTGGACTAAAGTTCAATTTTATTGAGATCTAACGTTTAGGTCACCTCGTATAGAAGTGATTTGTATAACCCGCTGTATGGTTTGTGAACAGCCTGCATTTCTGACCCTTTACAACTTGTATGGGTGATAATAACGGCGTTGATTTATTGCCAGCACTCTCAATGATGTTAGACATTTTCTCAGTTTGTTTGTGTTTTTGTATATACGACATTTATGTTGTTGGACAATATATATATATATATAATAGACGAGTTTCTAGTTATAGCGCCATCAGTCGGTTTACGTGCGAGGATGTGGGGTTGTTGAATATCATGATATGTCTTATATTTATCGTCTACGGTTGAGTATGTATGATTTATCCGTGATATCATCCCTAGTAAAAAGTAGTAATATTGCGTTTTTCTGTTTGTATCCTCCTTAACATTGAATGATGTGTAGTACTTTTAAATAATAGTTTTGTCATCAATGCATTCGCCATGTTGTATATTAGTGACCAGAGCTACCAAGCGACAAACGTCCACATTATTATTGATCTTTGCAACCTGTTACAGTCAAATTTATGATGCATATATATCATTATAAGTTAATATATTCATTTAGAGCCATATACTATTCAAACAAATTATGAAATAGTTTTGATTTTACGACTTCATCGGTTGTTTGGTTTAGTTTAGATTTGATTGTGGTTGGTATAGCATGATCTAATTAGCCAGGGCTATTTGATAACAGTTTACTGAACAAGTCTTCTTTGGCGATATCCATAATGAAATCAGATTCACTCATTACAATAGAATGAATGTTTACGATACCTCGAAAAATTAATTAACTAATTTGTTGATATTTTTCCAGCAACTGATTAGCATAGCCTGCGTGTGCGTTATTGTATAATAATATACCAAGTATTAACGCTTGTAAACGCCCTCACGAGTCATTACATGTTTTCTTTCCACTGATACTGAACAGAAAATTATTGACATTCCATGCAAGTCACGAAGCAACCAGCCAATCACGGATTCCAAGGACACGTCAATGCGCAATTTATTCACTACTACGATGACCGTAGTGAAAATAAATACGCTTTGATGTTTGTCACTGGTTTAAACACTGAAAATACCTGCTGATCACGGG